TCCATCCATCCATCCATCCATCCATCCATCCATCCATCTATCCTTCCATCCTTCCATCCATCCACCCACCACTACAGCAATTCATCAATCTGAAGTTTTAATGTTCATGTTATTCCCTCCTTTTCTCCCCTTTCATGTTATGCCATTCATTCACATTTGATGTAGTTTAGTGTATTTGATGTGTTTAGTGTTTTTTAAATCATAAAACTTAAGAACAATTTTGTTTTATTATTATCTTTATTTCAGGCTTTATACAAAGCATTCTCATACGCAGATGCTACAAAAGCAACCTTTCAAGTAGAAAACCCTACTTACCAGTACAAGGTAATACAATGTCATATCAAATTGTTGTTTAAATATCAACTTCCATCTGACAGAGTGACAGATTGATTCATTATACGTTTTAGTTATAAAAGCAATATCAATAACCCAACCAACTAGTTGTACACTCTCTCTCAGTAAAGAACAATTATGTATGGCATACACCTTTCTCAAATGGCTGCCAAATGCAGCTGGGACTAGGGACAATTGAATGGAAGCGAGGTCAGAAAGGCCTCATTAGTAAACAAAGTCTGCTCAGTATGATCTTTTGTGTCTTTGCACTAGAAGAATGTCTGGACAAGTAAAATGGACCCTTATTAAAACTGCCTTGAATGCAAGGCTAACATGCAATTGCAAGAGAATTACATTCCATAGAGAAAAAGTATGATTCATTTTGAGTTTTTATTTTAGCCTTGAATCCAAGTTCTTTTTGAGAAGGGTCCATTCACCTTTTCGGCGCTAGCTTGGATTGTGTTACGGTCAACAAAAAGTTCAGACATCGTTCTCCAATTCCCATACAATAAATTCACTGACTTTAAAAAGATAATTTAGGTAGATTTCTTTAGTTAGCTATCTTAACAGCAGTAATAAAAGCTTCAATCAAGCTAGAAAAATGATTATTTACTTGTATTTAGAGAACTAACTAAACATTAACCAAGTAAATAGTTCATTTAGAGTCAGTACATTTGTACGGAAATTCAAGAACAATGTCRGAATTTTTTGGTGACTGTAACACAATCTAAAACAATTTATACCCCATGATGGCTAGCGCCGAAAAGGTGAATTGTCTTACAATATTTGTACTCTAGGTCATAACTCTGAATCTGAATCGTTGGCTTCACTGAAATATACTCCTTGAATACTAAGGAAAAAATTGAATGCAATAAAGTACTCTAATGATATAATATTTGTTTTTAGGTTTTAAAACTTCAAGCTGCCATTAAATATGAAGAAGAAGACCTACAAGGAGCAAAGGTAAGATTAATGTACTAAAAATAATTAATAATAATGCAATCATTGATAAATATATTGCAAATTAATGCCTCAATACAGCTAGATTTTGAGAGATATGAGCAATAAATAATGAATTACAGCTGTTCTGACTGATATAAATTGGAAATTATTATTATTTACCTGTTAACATCTACTATTATTAATAATAATTTAGTCAACCAATATTGCCATTATTGAATATTTATCACCAACATTATATTTTCAATCTGGATTCAATTTCTAGAGTATGGTTGAACAATGTTCTAATGAGGATCCTGACACAGAAGTTAACCTTGGTTGTTTGCTGTTTAAGGTTAGTTTATCTCGCCTTAATTTAATTAAGTTAATTTAAGTATCCAAACAACTAAATATTGTTTTTTTTCCAACTCTGGGCCCAGTCGTACGAAGGGTACATGTAGATAGCGCTATCCAATGGATAAATCCTTATCCAGTGGATAAGTCGGTGCTGTTACCCAATACATTATTTTATCCACTGGATCATATTTATAGATTTTTCTATGATTATAAATCTTATTATATATCTAATTATACAGCTTCTCATTAATCCCATATAGGTAACTGTCCAATTATTTTCTTAATTGGACAGGTCTTGTTGATATGGGATTAATTAGGCAGCTATATAATTAATAGGTAATGGGATTTCATGCTCCCCAATCAAGAAATAACTAGACTCGAAAAATTCCTCTGACTGCCAAATTGGACTCGGCCTACGGCCTCATCCAATTTTGGAAGTCCTCSGAATTTTCCTCTTCCAATTATTTCTTAATTGGACAGCATGGAGACCTATATATATATTACATTTGCTTATTATATATACACCTACTTGCAAGAACGTTGTCATATGATATTAGAACATTAGTAATTTAGTGAGAAAGGAATACATTAAAAGACAAAAGAAAAAGCTCAGCTTCAGTGATCTTCTTTTGTTTTTTAATATAATTCCTATCCCACTAAATCACTAATGTTCTATTTAATATCTATAAAAATATTTTATGAAATTTTGATTGGCTGGCTGGCCCACTGAATGATGTGCCTACTAATTATAATAATATTAAGCAAATCAACAGTCTAATGGTTTTTCTCACTTTTGATAGGAAAAGCAATACCATGAAGCATGTCAAAAATTCCAGACAGCAATGAATATCCTTGGTTATCAGCCAGGTATAAAGTTGATTTTGATTTATTTGTACAGTAGCTATTTGCAATAAAAGTAGCACTGGTGTTATTTGTTGTTACTACAGCATAGTCTTAACTGCTTGTTGTGACTGTTGCTGCATGCTACTGCTATTGTTGCTGCTCCTACAATCAACTCTCTTTGAACGACCTCTCATAAGCGACCACTCTCGTAAGCGACCACTCTCGTAAGCGACCACGCGACCACCTTTGGAGTTAAAATTTTGGAATTTTTCATTGTTTTTCCTCTCCCGTAAGCGACCGCCCAAGAGCCAGTAATGGTGAGAACATAGAGTCATCGGGTGTTAAAAACCCGACGAAATATTGGCAATTACAGTAATGTAAACATATAGCACATTCAAAGCTTTCATTAAAACAGTTAAATTGTTATTACACAGTAGTTTTAACACGTGAGTTACAAATTATAAATGGTTTAGCCTTCCTGTGTTGGGATTCCCATTGTTTGGGCTACCTGTGTTAACTCTCTAGTAATCGACCACTTTCTCCTGGTCCCGGGGTGGTCGCTTACGGGAGAGTCAACTGTATTTATTGTAAGTTATCAGTTGTTGCTTTTATTAATTGTTGTTTAAGCTGATGTGTTGCAGCCTTGTATGGAATGTTGCTGCTGCTGTTGGTGCTGTAATTGCTCCTTTTCTTGTTGCTGTTGCATGCTACAGTTGCTGCTACTGCTTGCTGTCATTGCTGCTGCTATTTATTGTTGTTTTTAGCTAGTTATCTCTTTTTATTGTTGTTGTTRTTGTTGCTTTTATGGTTGTTTGGGCTGATGTTGCAGCCTGCTATGGAATGTCGTAGCTGCTGCTGTTGTTGCTATAATGATTACTCAGGGCCGATTCTTGTTGTTGTTGCTATTATAACGTTCATATCATTAAAAAAATTTCCAGAGAAATTATTGATGTTTAACATAATCGTGTGCTATATTTTTTCCTTTTAGACTTGTCGYACAGTATTGCATTGTGCTATTACCRCCTCAAGCAATATGCCCCAGCACTCAAACATATTGCAGATATCATAGAGAAAGGAATAAGGGAACATCCAGGTTAGCTAATCAGCTAATAATAATCATATAATGATTTATCTCATTAGAGCAACAGTAAAGATTGTTTTCTTGAGTAAATTGGGGTAAAGGTAAAAAAGAAAAGGTATAGCTCAGTTGGTTAGTGTGTGGCCATCAGAGCTAGTAGAGGTGAAATAGACTCCTGGGCTTGGGGTAATATTTTCCTATTTCAGACCACATGTCATTCCCTTGAGTATAAGATTCTTTGTTTGAGCTGTATCCATATTGTCTTTGTTTGAGCTGTATCCATATTCATGCGTCTTCTCATGTGCAACYGAGCGCAAACCTTAAACAAAGAAATGATACTCTAGGGAATGACGTGTTGTCTGAAATGGGAAAACATTACGTCAGAGCCGAAGAGGTCTATTGGTCCCATCCTTAAGAATCTCTATGTCTGTTTCAACTTCTCCTGTTCGCTGTTATGCTGTTATAGCTTTAGCTTAGGGTCATGAGTTTATTTTACGTACATATAGCATTAAATTATATATTAATTATTATGCAAAATAATTTTCAAGAATTGATTATTTTTCAGGGATTGTTTTAGACTCTTACATATTCATATTGCRAAACTTATAAATTAATGTGGTAATTTCCTGTTTACATAGAACTTAGTGTTGGTATGACAACAGAGGGTATAGAAGTACGCAGTGTTGGAAACACTAAGGTAATGTACTCAGTATTTAAGCATGCATCTAGTACTCCAGTTTCAGACAGAGAATGGGTTATTGAAACCTGTACATAGAGTTAATGGCTCACCTGTGGCTTGCCATTTGATTATGTTAAAATTCCCACAATTCCTACACTTTACATACTGGTGTTATCCAAGAAATTTATCCACTGGATAAGGAATTATCCAATTTATCACTCATCTTGCAACCACATGTTTAATGTATTTATTGATGAGCTATGGAAAGTAGGTTAATTGAAATTATTGATCATATGTCTCCAGCTGAAAGGAACTCAAAAAAACATTGTCCCTGATAGGAAAATGCACAACATATTGTTTAATGTATCGYTTAAAGTTCATCTAATAGACAAAGTACATTTTCGTAATATGATTATAAGAGTTTTGACATTTAACATTGGATTGATACCTATTAATTTTATCAGGTGTTACAACAGACAGCACTGATAGAAGCATTTAACTTGAAAGCTGCCATAGAATATCAATTGAAAAATTGTAAGTTCTTTTTCCAACAAGAGACATTCTTGTCATGATCTACGGTCAGTAATGCTAGTATGTTTGTGCACTAATGAGGCTCCATCAGCTTTTAAAAGTCCAGAAACAATGGGTAATGGAATTCATGGCTATTGGCATGATGCATGATACAGCTATGCTTGATACGTCAGCAGGAGAATAGCCAGGATTTTTTGAAGTTGGAGGCTCAAATTCAAAACATCACCATTTTGCAAACGCCAGACCAAAATGGCATTAAAAAATGACATTATGTTTTTGCATTATTTTTACAAACAAAACAAAAAAAAATTGAAATTAACTTACAGTAAGAATTAATCTAAATAAAAAGTCGTCATAAACCCCTCAAAGACCATGAGCCAAAATTGCTTTAATTTCATTTAACTTGACCACATACACTGTATCATGTTACCATAGCAAGGCTACGGCAAAAACAATGAAGGCCATTCCATCAATAAAAAGTAATAAAATTTTCTTAGTTTTTCGCAATYTTATGGAGGTTTTCAAAACTTCATATAAGTTTACCTGGTTAATTTCTTTCACATGACAGAGAAAGCAACAAAATTGATGAATAAAAAATCTAAAATAATGTTAAATCTTACTGAAAATGAAATTTTCCAATATTGCTGAATCCATTTAYATCTTGTCAATAACATTCTATAATGAAAAATGTCTGCTAACTTTTTAATGGCAGTACAGGTTTGGAGTTCCTTGTAAATCAAGATAGCATTTGTGAAAGACCTTTTTATGGCATGACGCAATGCTCACCTAAAAACACCTTAGAGCCACCTTAAATAAATAACTTAATTTTTCAATATTTCAGTTGAGGCTGCACAAGAAGCTTTGACAGACATGCCACCAAGATCAGAGGARGTAAATGATAATTATAGTAATTAATTGTTTATAGTCTTCAGGAAGCATAAAATCAAAAACCATCAACTCAAGGAAGAGACCTTACTGTAATGACAAACTGTTGCAGTATAACTAAATAATTGAATGCAAAACCCCAGGGGTGGATGGAAGAAAAAAACTTGTCATCGCTTATCACCACCGCAAGTACAGTAGTGGCGAAGTGTCGAACTGAAAGCATGTGAAGGCACCTCTGGGGCAGCCGCTATACAGTCCAAGTATGACCCTGGAGCACAGCTCTAACCAGTTTGAATTAGTTAGGGTTGATTTGAGAGGAGGGAGGAAAAACGGGAGGACCGGAAAAACCCTCAGAGTCAGAAAAAAACAACCAACTAAGCTCACATGGGGTGGCTGGGATTTGAACCCTGGACCTCAGAGGTGAGAGGCGAGTGTTTTTACCACCACGCCATCCTAGCTCCCCTAAGAGTGAACTTATCTTCACCCTTCTATTACCTTGCCTACATAAGCCAATGGAAATGAGTATTAACCTTTCCTCTTGGCACCTACTATTTATGGTTAAATGATAAATTTAGTTATAGTGTGTCTACTCCAACCAAAGCCACCTCGACAAATTTTCTACAAATTATCCAATAGTGTTAGAGTATTTAGACAAAATATTAGCAGCAAAATTTTTGAATTTTAATAATCTTCCGTTGTTCTGGTTTGCAAAACTAAATGATGAAACATCATCACAAAAGATTACCATCATAATTATACAACTAATGTTTTCTAGGAGCTAGATCCTGTGACACTACACAATCAAGCACTGATGAACATGGAGGCACAACCCACACAGGTAAAAAGGCCAAGTCGTCATAAAGCATTTAACCAGGTTTTACAAATAGATAGCAATAGACCCGGATATAGTGTTTTCTCATTTCCTACCACATGTTATTCTCTAGAGTATCATTTTTTGCTTGCCATTGTACATGGAGAAGACACATGAATATTGATAATAATAATAATAATAATAGTTATTATTATTATTATTATTATTATTATTACTATTATAATACAGCTTCTCATTAATCCCATATAGGTAACTGTCCAATTATTTTCTTAATTGGACAGGTCTTGTTGATATGGGATTAATAAGGCAGCTATATAATTAATAGGTAATGGGATTTCATGCTCCCCAATCAAGAAATAATTAGACTTGAAAATTTCTTCTGACTGCCAAATTGGACTCGGCCTAYAGCCTCATCCAATTTTGTCAGTCTTCGGAATTTTTCTCGTCCAATTATGGAGTCCTATTACATATACTAATTGGACAGGTCTTGTTGATATGGGATTAATTAGGCAGCTATATAATTAATAGGTAATGGGATTTCATGCTCCCCATTCAAGAAATAATTAGACTCGAAAAATTCCTCTGACTGCAAAATTGGACTCGGCCYATGGCCTCATCCAATTTTGGAAGTCCTCGGAATTTTCCTCGTCCAATTATATTTAATGGGACAGCATGGAGTCCTATTACATATACTAATAATAATAATAAAATAATAATAAATCTTTATTTATTCTCACTAAATATGATAGCACACAAGTGCTAGTTTGAGTGAGCTAAAGAATAAATATCTATAATAAAAATATTAAGTAGTAATAGAAATAATAATAATAATAATAATGATAAAATGCAAACCAAGAATCTTATTGAATGTGTGGTTCAAGAAAATTTCCATACCTACCACTGACAGGAGGAAATTTGAAGAAAGTTCCCCCCACGCCTCTGGAATTTCCAATTGACTTCCATACAAATCTTGTTATTTTTCCTCTGACCCCCCTCCCCCCAAATTTCATTTTCCTCCTTGGTCGAGTATGGATATTTCCTAGAACCACACATTCCCAAGAGAATGACATATGATCTGAAATGTGGAACCACTACACCTAAGGTCAAGAGGTCTATTTATGTACTTATTGACTGAGTGGGAGGGCCGTACGGGAAAATATTTGGCTCGAGGTCATGTCGTACGGACCAAGCGCAGCATTTTATCATATGACCCTTACGAAAATAAAAATGATTAAAAAAAGAAAGCGCGCGGATTCGAGCAGGGCCGGACGGGTTTTTCCGGCCCGCTTACGTCAACCCGTCCTGCCCCCATCACGTGACTTTTTCCAATGGTTTTATTAGAACGCGCGAGCAGGGCCGTACGGACCATATGATAATTCAACTTATTATTAATACATTACCAGTGGTATAAATTTGAAAATGTACAATAATAAAGTAATGTACAAAAATTCGCAGTGATACAGTAAAAGGTTTAAATAATTTTTCTAGGGATTTCATGAGGCTTGATTTTCATGAGAGGCTTGATAATAGATCGATAAGCGTACCAGCATACAAACACTGTGTCTAATGTAAATATTTGTTGATAATTAATTTCATTTTCATTTCCTAGGGATTTGAAAAACTCCAGTTTCTTCTGCAGCAGAATCCATTTCCTCCAGGTAGTATTTCTCACGATTGACATAATATAGCAGTGTTGAGTTCTCATAAATAATATCATGCCATATATCTACAGATAGAATTCTTTTTTCTTTTCATAACCTTATAATATTTGTTAACTTCTTMTTTTCCAGAAACCTTTGGTAACCTACTGCTTCTGTATGCAAAGTACCAGGTGAGTTCACATTCTCTTTAAGTTTTGCAATCTTTTCCATTCTTATTATCTATATGAATTTATGAGAGGTGGTTATTTTAGTATGAAGATTAGGCGCTTGGGGTGGTCATTATGTATGCTCAGTATTTTTTTTAAGTCCCTCCAATATTGGTTAGTAATGATGAAGTGTATAGAGACAGAGAGACGGGACTGACATTAAAAGTACTCATCCCAGCCACTTGATAGTTATAATACCATTTGTAGATGTAATAGGCCCTTTGCAGCTCAGTAATCACATGCTGATTAATTCACTGAGAGCAAATGAATGAACATCTTGATTCCCATGGGTGAAATATACTGGTGAGCAAACACACTTTCTACAACCTGTTTYGAGAGATCGTAATAAAACTGCATTTCGTGACACACTGGATACACATCGTTTCATTCAGTTCTTTAAGTAATATATACAGTATGAGTGCAGGCCATGTTGTATATTGGATACAACACGGACACAAATACTGTAGATTACTTATCAAACATCTAGGTTAGTTCCTTTGTGTTTCTCTAAAATTTTCAAGATAAAAGTGAATCTGACCAAGAAAATCCATCTTAAAGTTTATGCAAATGAACAGGATTCTGTATCTGATTTACAGAACTCTTCAYGGTCAAGATTTCTGTTGTGTTTTCCTCATGAATTATTAATGAGTTTAATAAAAGTAGATAAAAAGAATCACTGATTTAAAAGAAATAAATAAAATTTCTCACCAGTACAGACACGTGACYGTTAACTGCAATGGGCCTATTACAAAGGCAGTACTTTCTCCTTTTGTTATTTTAAGACCCTTACTTGATCTTGCCTCTTGTCGGGGCTAATGAACCCATGACTTCCCACTCGCCAGTTCGATGCTCAACCAACTGAGCCAGCTTGGTGCTGGTATTTTTTCAGTCATTYTTATCTTTATCTTTTCGAAATGTGTGGGACCAACATTGATGTGTTTACTTAATACTTCAACAGTATTATGACCTGGCTGCAGATGTTCTTGCTGAGAATGCTCAACTGACATACAAATATCTACAACCTGTGAGTAATCTAATTACTTAGGCTAACAAATAATTTTCAATTTTTTTTTTTTTTTTTTTTGATACTCCTTAGAATCAAGAATTAATTTTTATTTCATAATGAGGGGGAACTCAAAATGTGAACACTGTAACCAAGTTTTTTCATGTCATTTTAAGTTAAACCTTCTGAACTCTCTACTGTTTCAAACCCTAATAATTAATTTAAAAATGAATCTTTATTGCTACTGCCGTAAATCAGTAATTTTTGTTATAATAATAATATATACATATAATTTTTTTAAATTTTTATCTTTATTTATTTATGGTTTTTAATCATTATCATTATTTTTAATTATTTTTATTGTTATTAATTCTAGCTAGTATATGTATGATTTTCTGGAGTGTCTGGCTAATTGAAAAATTTATTGCTACTGCCATAAATCATTGATTTTTGTTATAATAATAATAAAAATAGTAATGAATATATATGTATATTATTATTATTATTAATTTATTTATTTATTTGTGGTTTTTAATCATTATCATAAATTTTGATTATTTTTTTATTGTTATTAAATAATTCTAGTACATGTACGATTTTCTGGATGCTTTGATAACCCAACAAACATCTCCAGAAGAGGTGAGTATCTTGTACTAATTAATTAAGATTAAGTTGTTGTTTTTTTACCACCAAAACAAGGTGGTTTAAATGCAAAAGTATTATCTTGCATGCATTTTCCTACATTTTAATTTATTTTCAAATTTTGACTTTTGATTTACCAGGCTTACAGAAAATTTGATGACATGGCAACGAAACAAACAGAAGCGCTAAGAAAACTCACCAAGCAGGTAAATTTACTGTCAGCTTTCGTATGTCTGAATGGTTAATTCCTTATGCCCTGTCCACACTATGCTGGATAAATTTGAATCYGAATTTTTATTTATTCGGTTAGGCCTACCGTCCACACTAGTCCRGGCGAATCCAGAACAATTCTTCACCAAAAGCGAATTTTTGAAATAGAACCGAATAAATAAAAATTTGGATTCAAATTGTGTGCAACTTGGAGACAGAGAGTTCACATGTTTATGAGAATTGCAGTAATGATTACAGTGACAACATTCGAACCACAAAGTTTTATTCAGGTTATCATTTCCTGAACTTTCTACTGTTCCAATCTTTTTAAAAAGAAGCATTGAGGATCGCTCAAATTCATTAGGCTGCAATCATAATGTATGGCAGAAGGGGGGCAGGTGAAATTGAGGGGGAAYGGGAAAAATTTGGTAAGAAAAAGGGGGATGGGCAAATTTTTATCAGAAAAATGGGAGGATGCGCAATTTTTGGAAGATGCTACAAGTCTTGCTTAGGGAATCGTCTTTTTTTGCATGACTTTAAGGGGGGAGGTGTTAAGAAATATTCTGAGCATTTCAAATTTTCACCTGCCCCCCCCCCCCCCCTCCCCACTCTGCCATACATTATGAACGCAGCCTAAAGTGATCAAAATAAATCTTGTTTTTATTGGATTGGCTCAAAGGATGATTTACAGTAACTACAGCTGTATGTGTTTTATGATTTAAAAAGTGACAAAAAACTTGAAGTTTTTGCAGTTCATGTGTATGTACGGTAATCGCTATAAGCAAGCTGAAATCATGTAAGTCATTAACACTGCGACCTTGTTTTCTTGTTGTAGGTTCAAGAAGCCAGGCAGAACCATGATGATGAAGCTGTTAAGAAAGCTGTTAATGAATATGATGAGGCTTTAGAAAGGTATAATTGCACACCAATAGACCTCTTCGGCTCTGACRTAATATTTTCCTATTTCAGACCACATGTCATTCCCTAGAGTATTATTTCTTTGTTTAAGGTTTGCGCTCGGTTGCACATGAGAAGACACATGAATATGGATACAGCTCAAACAAAAAATCTTATTCTCAAGGGAATGACACGTGGTCTGAAATGGGAAAACATTACCCCAAGCCAAAGAGGTCTATTGCTTGTTACATGGTCTATACCACATACAAGTAGTTTAGGTGTGCCTACGCAGTTCTAAATGTCATATGATAGTTAATGAATATTCGTTTGTTTGTTGATTCATTCATTCATTCCTTTATTTATTTATTCATTCCTTCATTCTTTTGTTAATTTGTTAATTTTTTCATTCGTTCATTTATTCATTTATACGTTCGTTCGTTAGTTCATTTATTCATTCATTCTTTCGTTCGTTTTTTTGTTGGCCTATTCATTCCTTCATTCATTCGTTCATTTTTTTACTAGTTAGTTGGTTCGTTCATTAGTTGGCTTATAGATTCCTTCATTCATTCATCCATTCCTTCATTCATTCATTCATTTCTTCATTCATTCATTTCTTCATTCATTCAGCCATTCGTTCATTCATCCATTCATTCTTTATGGTTGTCTTCTCCAGGTACATACCAGTCCTCATGGCCCAAGCCAAAATATACTGGGAACTAGAAAACTACAGTCAAGTTGAAAAGGTGATCATAGATAGACACAGCTATCTCTCATCATTAAAACAAACATATAATATCAGTTTATTCTCAGAGGCCATCCTAACATCCTTTTTCACTCTGACTTCCAGATATTCAGAAAGTCTGTGGAATTCTGTAATGAGCACAAAGTATGGAAGCTCAATGTTGCTCACGTTCTCTTTATGCAGGTAAATACCTTGTAGTTTTGTTATTTTAATTACCTCCAGATGATCTTAGTGGAACAACAATAGGGTCCACCCTCACCTAACTTGGTTAACTTGTTCCTGTGAGGTCAGGAACACCACAACAGCTTCAAGCTAAAATGTGTTTTTGTTGGTTGAGTTGGCACTGCAGTGCATTGTGGGGCAGTTTTAGAGGATAAAATAGATGCCATCTTGGAAATACACCTAATTCATAAAACTTTGTGAAAGGTGATAGGCGATAGGCAATAGGTCATTCCAACCTGGAAATGGTTTTGTTGAATACAAATAACATCGACTCACTCTCAGCACTAAGGTCCATGATCTTGACGAGAATAAGAAGCGGAAACAAGTCATTCCAGCTATTCTTGGATCTTGGAATGAATATCCTATCGCTTTTYGCCTATCGCCTATTGCCTTTGGCGATGATAATGTTATTTGAATTAGGTGTATGTCCCCATCTTGGAAATATGCCCAACAATGTACCTCAATCCCAACTCGACCCAGTTTTTTTCTCAACCTCAGAATKGCTAACATAAATATGTATGTGTCAACCCATCTTTTAAATGCTTATTTTTTCTCCGTTTTAGGAAAATAAGTACAAAGAAGCAGTTGGTTTCTATGAACCGATAGTCAAGAAGCACTATGATAATGTATGTGTGTATGACAGCAAGTACACTAGTTCAATGTGCATTTACGTTTTTTGCTAATGAATTATCACCTTACAGAAGGTTAAGTTCCAAGGGTATAAAGAGTAGTATGCAGGGGCAGATCTTCGGGGGGTGGGGGGTTCCTCTAAATCCCCCGGCCCTAAACCAGGATTGAACCCCCTACGTTATCAACTCAAGATCACCCTAATTAGATCATCTTGATTTTATCAAACCCCCTAAAGGTCAAGTACAAACCTTTAATTAGAAGCTAGAAGTAGCTATTTTCTTTCTGATTCAAACCAACCCCCTAGTGAAAATCCTGGATTTACCCCCTTGCATTGTTAGGGAATATTATTGCAGAAAACGTAATGTAATAACAGAAAAAAACTGACTAAGATCTTTGTAATTTTTAGATCTTAAGTGTGAGTGCTATAGTCCTGGCTAATCTGTGTGTCTCGTATATCATGACAAGTGCTAATGAAGAGGTAAGATTGCTTTTGGAACGAATGATTTAAATTTGCTTTGAGTTTATCTTGTATCACAGCATCGTAGAGAAAATCATATAACCTAAATAGGAGGGCCGTGAGTTAGATAACTCATTGGGTTAATACGTCACCCTCTTTAAATAAAGTTTATTTTTTGATTGATTGAAATGTTTTAAACGTCAGAAACCTAATACGACAGGAAARCTTTATATGAAAGCTTGATAACTGATAAACCGATGGCTTTTGACGTTAAAAAATCCATGCTTTCAACAAACTGGTTTTCTGGTTTTTGAAGCGTAGTACCAGGGCCCGCAGGGGGGAAAGCTAATGGTGTTATAGCCCCCTCCCCACACACAACCTTTTTATACACAAAAAATCGTAAGGAAATTTTAAAAATAAGAGCACTTCTTTTCTTATGACTGTGAAAAGCTCAGTGCCGAATGCGTGCCTTGCCGCTACCTCGGTGTTTTCTAGAATTTTGATTGGCTGATTTTTTTCCTTGCACAAAATGATCGGTCCTGTGTACTTGGCCAGTTCTGTGACCTCTAAGGCGTTGACCGTGTCCTTGCCGTGTCCGTGCCGTGTTCAGATATTTGATTGGATGAAGTAAATTCTCGCGCAATGTGGTTGGTCTGACGTATGCCTTGACGAGTCACGATCACATTTTGGCCGCGAACTTTTCACACTCATATGAAAACTGCTGTAACAAACGAAGTCTTCTTGACTTGTATAACGTGTTGTAGTCACATTTAACGAAAAAGTTTTGTTCTATTACATTTCCTGTGTGTTTGTTTTAGGCTGAAGAACTTATGAGAAAAATCGAGAAAGAAGAGGTAAGGCGATGATGGGACGTTACTTTTAATTCATTTGATTCTCTCTAGACATTGTTTGACTAATATAAGGGGGGGGGGGGGGGTACGATGACAAAATTTGTCTTGGTTGATTTTCATTGCAATTGCCAACAAGAAAGCTATTGAAAAACCCAATAAAGCAAAGTGACAAATCTATTGTCAAAATGCACAATATGGCAATGTTCATTAACGTTACATCCTCCTATTAAATACTTGTAGCAACCTAAAAGCTAGTCTCCCCCACAGCCGCTTTCAGTGTCGTCACGCAACGCTTTGTTGCGTGACAACACTGAAAGAGGCTGTGGGGGAGACTTGCTAAAAGCGTGATGCCTCAAGGCTCAGTGTAACAACATTAAGAAACTTCGTTTTCAAATAAACTTATAAAACCTTGAAATGTGAATGCTTCGTTACCAGGAACAAGTGGCTTATGATGAACCTGATAAAAAGATATTTCACTTGTGTATAGTTAACCTTGTTATTGGGTAAGTAATATTAGAAAATGCCCATGCTTTCTATGGCTTATTATTACTCCAGCGTGTTAGTGGGTAACATGGGAGGCGTTCGCGGCTAACGAATCGTCTTTCACCGCTGTGAGTCCAACGGKTCAGGTCGCTGGTTCGAGCCCTTCGGTCGCCACATGTGAATAAGCCTGAAGCGAGATGACGTTTTACCCCCGACTCTATACCATAATAGTTTTTTAAATTCTTTCATATTAAAATTTTTGATTCCTTAGAGAATACAGGAACAATAGTCATAATTAAAGAACAAAAGCAGTGTGAAAAGGATTATAGTCTAGAGACGGGCGTAAAACATCATCTCGCTTCGGGCTTATTGAGTCTGTTTGATGTGTTGTTCTCTTCCTTGCCACGAGGGTTTTCTCCGGGTTCTCCGTTTCCTCCCTCCGTAAAAATAAACATGTGAGTTGAGCGTTGTGTGCATAGAATATTAAATGTAGTGGAAGTGCATGTGAACGAAAAGTGTCCCCAATTAGTGCGAAAGCACTAGAACGACTAGACACTTAAATAAAGATATTTATTTATTTTTATTCTTTAGTGGTGGGGGGAGGGTGGGAGGGTAGGGGGATTCGAATTCGTGTGTGGTTTCTGCGGTATACTCGATTAAATAGGTGAATCTATGATAACTGCTTTAAATCAACAATTATAACCTTTAAATCTTTAATGTTTATTCGGGTAAAATGTC